GAGGTGAAACAGGAAGTCACGGACAGGTTGTGTTTGGACATATGTATCAGCTCACACCGAGGAGAATTAAGAAGAAGTGTTAGCGAGGGGTGAGTGGGAGATGGCGAGTGTCATGTGTGGGGTTTGATAGTCCGTCTCACCCACAGTGAGTGTGACCGAGTCTGTAAAAGATCATCTGGGGTTACAGGACTAATCAAAGAGCTGAGATGACAGCGAAGACTGACAGCACGGAGAGAGAAATTGAGAGACAACATGCATTCAGACGAACAACAGAGTAAATGCTAAACAAGGACGCATTCCACTCTCCACCCAAAAAAAATACTGTGGTAATACTAAGTCATTAGATAGCAATACCATAGGAGTTTGAAATATATACGGTACTAAATCATCCATGTACTATAGCAATTACATACCAAAAATATGATGGTACAATGTTGGTTTCACACAAAAATCATGGTAATTAGATATATACCACGGTATAAAACATCAACAACAACAACGTATTATTTTTAACATGTTTTTATGAGCTCCAAAAACCATATATTACAACCCTCTACATTGCGAGTAAATCATTCGCTTATGCGACTAAATCTTCACTCTGGGCGACTAAATGATGTCTAATATTAGCCAATGGCTAATAAATTCTCAGATTTTACTCGCCACTGCGTGAGTTGGAGGCTAAGTATAAGTTTGGCGTAACATAAACTGTAGTGTGAAGGCGCACGACATAACATGCAGAATTGATGCGCTACATGTAAACAATATTCTTTGTTGTATTTTCCTGTCAAAATAATGGAGTTCTATTGGAATTCTTCAGCTTTTAAGAACTGCCGGGTTCTCCGGTAGTGGGCGGAACTAATGCGCAATGAAATCTCATTGGCTGGTGCTCACTTATTATCGTCCCTGTTTTGATTTCAGCAAATCAGTTCCAGCGAACGAACACAATCTGATTAACATTCATGAATCCAGCAGCTTGTTAATCCTTGGTGCGTTTTATATTGTTCTTATTAGTAGAATTCATATATTATTATCAAATTAGTATTATTGTTCATTTTTTCCCATAAACCCCCCCCATTTTTCGTTCTTTTCCCTGAATGACCCAAAAAAAAAAAAAAACACCACCACCAGCACTAAGTTCAGTTAAAATGACTAATTTGCATTCATAGTTACCAAGTTTTAATTCTAATTACTAAACTTCTATTATTAAACAATACTTGATTATCATATTACATATACATATGTGTGTGTGTGTGTTTGTAAAATGGCAGTTTTATATATATATATATATATATATAGTTAAAATCACGCGAAGGGAGCCGTTTTTTCTCCAAAAATCAGCATGATTACAAATGTGATAATATTGATTTTATACAACAGTTCAATAAACAAGTTACTATTAAGAGACTTATGTTTTAGACACCATATTGCCTGTTTTTGCTCTATTTTGCCTACAAAAATAATACAAAACAGAACCACAGCACTGTTTTGCGTCTCTAAACAACATGACGTGTTTCGTTCCTGAATTAATCAACCGTTTAAATGATTCGGTTCAATCGCAATGACTCATTTATCAAGTTTATAAAATCAATTTAAACTCATTGAAAAATATTAGCTACTTTCTATCACTGCTGTGAACTGACCACCTCACAGAATATGAAGAATATCAAAAACATTAGGAGTCAGCTGTCCACGGTAGTCCTTAAGATATCAGAACAATAACACACTCAGCAAAATATCGTCTAATTATCGTTATCTCTAAAATTCCAGAAAATATCAAGATATATTTTTTGTCAATATCACACACCCCTATATATTACGTTATGTTACATTATATTATATTAATTATATTATATTATATTAAAAAGAACAATATTATGTTTATAAAATCAATTTAAACTCATTGAAAAATATTAGCTACTTTCTATCACTGCTGTGAACTGACCACCTCACAGAATATGAAGAATATCAAAAACATTAGGAGTCAGCTGTCCACGGTAGTCCTTAAGATATCAGAACAATAACACACTCAGCAAAATATTGTCTAATTATCTTTATCTCTAAAATTCCAGAAAATATCAAGATATATTTTTTGTCAATATCACACACCCCTATATATTACGTTATGTTACATTATATTATATTAATTATATTATATTATATTATATTATATTAAAAAGAACAATATTATTGCATATTATATATAAAAATTATATAATCATATTTTAAAGGAACCTAAATGTAATATTGTATATTGTAAAATATTGTATCATATTATATTGTATTATATAATATAATCTTATTATTTTATTTACATTTCTATTCTATTCTATGATATTATAAAACAACAACAATAATATTTTTTAAAGTAACCTATCCAAAAAAGATATAGATTAAATAGTAAATAAAATATATTATATTATATTATATTTTTTAAAGGCGCATATCCAAAACTTGGCAATGTCGTGTTAAATGAACAAAATAATAAACAAACAAACAAATAAATAAATGAAACCTAAGATTTATAGAGTTTATGTATCTCCTTCAAACATATGCATTTATCATTAAAGAGCTTCAGGTTTACAAACTACAGCAATTCTTTAAATTTGCCCAATATGTATTTGTTCGTAAGTTTACTTCGCCCACGTATCACATGCCTCTTAGTGATTTATGATTCATTGACAACATTAACAAAATAGACACAATGCAGGGTCTGTTATAACAGCCTGCTGCTGTACGTGTGAACTGACTACAACTCCCACACTGCATCACACAATTCTTCAAGATGGACTGTGAAATATCACACTGACAAACACACACACACACACACACCAGTGGCTGTTGATAACGCAGTGACGCACTGGTCAAATGACATACAGCTGTAGTGGGAGGAGAGATTCCACCACCCAAACACTGACAGACAGAAAGCTCAGAGAGCATGACACTCTCAGTCAGCGCTGATGTATTTCTGACCCTTGAAGTGAAACCGAACGGATGACTGTTAGTGTCGCTGACCCACGTCAAAGCAACCAAACAGCTGGGAGCTTCTAAAACCGTCATGTAACGCATCTAAAAATGCAATCTGACTAAATCCTCACATTTGAAAAGAAGTTGGGTTTTAAATAAAATGAAAATGAAAGTTGTCATCATTTACTCACCCTTACGTTGTTCTAAACCTGAATATCTTTCTTACATGAAAAGCAAAAGATTTTTGAAGAATATCCTGGCTACTTTTTTCAACATAATGAAAATGAACGATGACTGAGGCTGTCAAAAATGGCAAAAAAAAGTCCCAAAAAGAGATGTTAAAACGGTCTATAAGACTCGTGTGCTATATTCCAAGTCTTCTGTTGCCATATTATAGACTTGTGTAAAGACCAAAATTAACTACATTTTTGGTAACACACTATACAATATATTTTAATTTACAGTAAGATTTCACTTGGGATTTCATTTAAGGTTTCATTTACTACATTAGTTTACATGCACTAACAATAAAAAATACTTCTTCAGCATTTGTTAATCTTAGTTCATTACATACATTATATCATTTGTCCAGCAGCATCATTTAATGTCTAGTTCTTAATTCTGTTTTATACTACCTGTATAGCACTTTGGCTTCAACATTTTAACTAGGGCTGCACGATATATATCGAAATTATCGAAATATCGCAAATGTCAATATCTCAATATTAATTTTAATAATAGGCTACTTAAATCAAAACGTTTCAAAAAGGTCAAAGTTTTAGTTTGACGCATATAGCAGAGAATTGCTTGACGTTAAGTGCAATAAGTTGCAGAAAACAACTCTTTGCTGTCTCATCTTGCTGTCTGACTCACACCTGAACGCGCACACCTAGAGAGACGCGTTTCAGACAGCGCGCGAACACCGAGTTGATTCGTCTTTCGCTTTTTGCTGTGGTTTATGAAGAAGTACTTAAAGTGTGTGGAAAGCAAAGTTACAATGATATAAAATTAGTGTCATTAATTGTTTTGTTTGTATGTTCACATTGATGTTAAATTAAATTTTCTGATTTGTGACATTACTTTTTAAGTAATGCTAAAACACTGCTGGTCACTTTCAGAAGTTATAGTGATTCTTTATTTTCCAAGAAAGAATGTGAAACAAATTAGTTATATCATTTTCATTTTTAAATATTTTAAAATATCATTTAAATTGATTTTACACACTTTAAGCAATATCGTATTGCATATCGAATATCGCATTTTTTAACAAGGTATCGCATATCACATTTTTTTTCAATATCGCACAGCCCTATTTTATACCCAACTTGTTTTTAAATGTGCTTTATAAAAACAAACTAAACTAATCTAAACATACAATACATGAACTAACATTAACTAATGGGACTTTATTGTAAATTGTTATCATTTTTATGAGTCAGATATTTGAAATGAGTCAGAATGATTTGTTTATAAATGACAGATTTGGTTTTGCTCACTGATTCAATGATCCAGTTGCAAAGGTTAACAGCTCACTAGACTAAAAATATCTATGAATAGTTCATTTTTATCAGGACTCAGAATATAGTGAGCGATTCATATTGATCACTTTTTTATGATATTTTAGCAGTGTTTTTAAAGATGAAATGTTTCAATCTATATTAATTGTACAAACATGGAAAAGATAAATAATTTTTTATATTTCAGTCACACTTTATTTTAAGGTCCAATTCTCACAATTAACAAACCATTAACTATGACTTTTGCCTCAAACTCCTAATTTGCTGCTTATTAATAATTAGTTATAAATTAAGGGTGAGTAACTGATGACAATTTGCATTTTTGCATGAACTATTACTTTAATAAACAGACCAAAACTTTCATCATCTGGCAAAAAAACACAGCTAACCTGCATAAATTATGAGACCGCAAGGACTGCTTGGATTTCACCAAGGTTGCTGTGTGTAAAACTCAAACCATTATGCGTTTTAAACTTTTGTGCTACAGTACAAAGTTTTGGGTAGAAGAGTGTTTCTTACCCTCACAGCTGCTGTGTCCCTCCTCATACCCAGCACTGCAGCTGCATTTGCCGATGGGCACCAGCCACTCCCCTTCAGCACTGCAATGCATTCTGGGAGGACTGTCCGTGTCCACCTCAGAGTTATTCACGCATGACCCTCTCACCTCCACCAGAGTCGAGAAGGCAGCTTCAGCTACCGTATCTGGGAACACTGCTAAATTCTGCACTGTTGACAAACAGCGTTTGTAGTACACTCTCACGGAAACCAGCGCGACGCATGCGCCCACATCCTGGAAGGCCAGATGGAATCCTTTGCGATTGAGATGTCCTATTTCACGGACTTCAGTGTTAAGTTTCATCTTCCGTTCTCCCAAATCGCCCTGCGTGAAACTTTCATCCGCCGCAATGGTGTCGATTTTGCTGTAGCGGTCTTCGCGGGTGACACGGCCCAGGTCCCAGTCAGACTCGGCGTAGAGGAGATTGAAGGTCTCCTTACAGCTACCGGACACGCCTGGGATGCTGTTGCAGTCGCGCAGGGTGAACTGCAGCTCGATGAAGATGCGCTGGCCACCCTGCCGCCATATCCAACCCGTCTGGAGCCAATTGTTCTGACTGGGCTCCATCACGTTGCATACTTGATATGTGCGAATGGGCTTGTATTTCTCATCGACACCGCTGATTTCCTCCCACTGAAATGATAAGAGGGAGAAAAAAAATGTTTCAAATAAAGAAATGTTTGAATAAGAATCACAGACTGTAGATCTAGACTATTGCAAAGCTTTTTTTGCCATTAACCTATTAACAGAATAGAATATAATAAAGATTTTTAATCAAATAAAATAAAATATCTATTAACATTGGTGAAATGTACTATCTTTTTGAACGTGCTTTAAAAATCATGGCCTTTTATTTATTGACATTGGGGAAAACTGGTGAAAATGAAATATGAAATGAAATAATATTAAATTAAATTAAAGGTGCTGTATGTAAGTTTGTGACTCTACTAAAGCATAAAAATACCATAATATGTTTGCAGATATTTAAGAAACATCCTAAGTTAACAAATTTGTTTATCTGAAAAACAATGCTAGTCAGTTATTCTCCTGTTTTGGTTTGTGAAACCCGCCCACTGCCAGTTTACCCAATTGTTTTTTGGCACCCCTGCCGCCATATCCAACCCGTCTGGAGCCAATTGTTCTGACTGGGCTCCATCACGTTGCATACTTGATATGTGCGAATGGGCTTGTATTTCTCATCGACACCGCTGATTTCCTCCCACTGAAATGATAAGAGGGAGAAAAAAAATGTTTCAAATAAAGAAATGTTTGAATAAGAATCACAGACTGTAGATCTAGACTATTGCAAAGCTTTTTTTGCCATTAACCTATTAACAGAATAGAATAGAATAAAGATTTTTAATAAAATAAAATATCTATTAACATTGGTGAAATGTACTATCTTTTTGAACGTGCTTTAAAAATCATGGCCTTTTATTTATTGACATTGGGGAAAACTGGTGAAAATGAAATATGAAATGAAATAATATTAAATTAAATTAAAGGTGCTGTATGTAAGTTTGTGACTCTACTAAAGCATAAAAATACCATAATATGTTTGCAGATATTTAAGAAACATCCTAAGTTAACAAATTTGTTTATCTGAAAAACAATGCTAGTCAGTTATTCTCCTGTTTTGGTTTGTGAAACCCGCCCACTGCCAGTTTACCCAATTGTTTTTTGGCACCCCGGGTTGCCATTTGGCGGGAAACAGTGGATTTCATTTAATTCATCGTCAAGTGCGCTCGTTCCTGTTGGTGTCGTCTATCAGGCAACCTGCGTGTGCGTCAAGTCTGAGGAGGAGGGGCCGGGTGAAAAAACCCTCTCCAATATTTTGAATTTGGACTGCAATACCTAGTTCAACCACTCTGTGTCAATCCTACATACAGCACCTTTAAATCTCAACTTTTTCATTGTGCCTTAACTTAAACTCTGCGGACCCGGATACTTAAAAATGTGTATGCTTCATTTACATAGCCTTCCTTATATGGTATCAGCCCATATATGGGTTCATTTGAAAGCTTGGAATGTCGTCTTTACAACGAATACAATTCCTTTTGGTTTTTATATTCATAAAGCAGTAAAATTAAGCTTAGAAATGTATTCATCCCACACACGATTTTCCGCCTAACCATTGCAAAAAATTTTTACAAAAAATGTGTATTTTACATTTTTTTCACAAAAAAGTCAAGTCATATATCACAAGAAAGCTCTCATTCTCAGGAATTTGACGATGTAGATTATTTCATTGTGGGACAATCATAGATCGAATTATCTTCAATTGAATTGCGATGTAAAAAAAATAAATAAATAAAAGGATTTTTTTGTGTGTAACATTCCTACTCGTAGCACTGCTTCAGTTAGCCGCAAACAGCCACAAATATCTATACACTCTATATTATCTTTTAGATTAGGATCTCTCAAGGATTCTTTCAAACAAACAGGATTTGGCACCTGCCCACACTGCCAAAAGCACCAAAAGTTGGTTAAATTACCATGGTGTTGGTGTGCTTGACTGGCCAGCAAACTCACGAGACTTAAGAAGTATTCTAATTTGTTGAGATGGTGAATTGGTGGGTGTTTGTTAAATGTGAGCCAAAATCATCACAATTAAAAGAACCAAAGACTTAAACTACTTCAGTCTGTGTGCACTGAATTTATTTAATACACAAGTTGGTTTTCGTGTATTAACTTTTCCATGACATTCTAATTTATTGAGATGCACCTGTATATATTGCAAAAGTTTTTGGCCTTTTATCTATTAACATTGGTGAGAAATTAAATTAAATTAAATATGAAATGAAATTACATGTTTTTTTTTATTTAATAAGATAAAATATAATATTTTTTTAAATGCTACCTGTGGTACATTAAATGCCTAGAAAGGGGATATTTTGGGGGATATCTATATACACACAGATGTAAATTAGTAACTTACTGCAGATCTATAGGCATAATTATTACAAAGAGTAAACATATGTACACATCATTGTCTTTGTCAATAAGAGCATCATGTTGGCATATATATTTTTAGTGTGTACAGTTTATAAAGCTTAATGCCAAATCAGCTACAGTATATCAAACACAGAATATATTAAGACTAAAGCATCTTCAATCAGCACCACAAACAAGCTCATCGTCTTGTAGAGAGATTATAATGAGCCTCTAAAGACGAACAATTTCACAATGTTTTCACAATTAATTGCAGTGTAATGAAGATCCTTCGTTTTTGAGGGAATGGAGCAGTTTGAATCCGCATCTGAGTTTGGCAGAGTCTCTCCACAGATACGACTATGAGTGGCAGTGAATTTCAACGCATCCTGTTGAAAACCACAGAGAGATCAAACCTGCGTGGCATGTATGCATGTACGTGTGTGTGTACGTCCACGCAGCTGTGGTGGGCAACATCTGGGAGCAGGAGACGGAGGATTTAATCGCTGTCAGGTCCAGAATTAACAAGCTAAACAAATAACAGCTTGTAGCGAGTCCCCAGCACGCAGTCGTTTTTCCTCACAGATAACGTTTCGAATGACGGAACGTGTCCGTCCTGAGCTGAGCCGTCCTCTGTAAGGCTTACTGCTCATCTCAGCTATGAATCAAGCTATGCATGTAATCTTTAGCACGTGGTTTAGAATTGAGAAAGAGAGCAGAAGATGTAAGATGAGAGATAGGATACAGAAAGAGACAAATGGGGTTTATCTGGTGAGGGCAAAGCAGTCCATACTGGGATTACAGCAGGGATGAGTAAGTAATACAGTTGGGGAATCGAGACGCAGAAAAGAAACAAGAAATAGACCAGTAAAAGGTAAAGATGCAGGGGAGGAGAGAGATGGAGAAAGAAATTGGGTATAGAGTTTAGCCCAAAATCCCATTGAACAGCAACTACATTGAAGTATGTCTCACAAATCTCAAGTACATCATAACACATTGACACTTGATTGTGAATTTCGAGTCAGATATGACTGAAACCAATGACTTGTAATTCAGTGAATGAGTCAGATGTTAATTCAGTAAACACTTTGAATGATTCAGTCAGCAAGTGAGCAGTTTTAGACCAATGGCTTCATTGGTTATGAGTCGTTTAGCCCAATTCATTAAACAGAACCAGACCACAGATGTCATTCGTTTACGAATTGGATTACACTGGTTTACAGCCGTTGTGTTGCAACAGAAGCATCTGAATTTTATGTACTGAGAAATAGGCGAGTATTTTAGAATTTAGTGTGGTATTCTATACACATTGGTGAAGGATTAGAGATATTCAAGAACCATTAATGTAAACAAATATCATAAAAATAATCTGGTTCTGTTATTTCTCTATTTACCTATCTATAGTATTTATATGTTTTATAACAAACCACATATTTCTGAATAAACAGACGTTTATACTGAGACCGGGTTATTACTAGCAAGTTCAAATTAATTAATTCATTCATTTATTTATTTAAATTAGGGTCGGGACTCAGGGAACTCTTATTAAAAAAAACTGTTCAATTAAACAATCACAATTTCATAATTCACATTTTACATATTACAAATGCAAATTTATTTTTAATGAACTAGGGCTGAAACTAACAATTGTTTTGATAAATGATTAATCTGTCTCGATTAATTGGATGAAAAAAAAATCCCATCTTTCTTTATTTTATTTTGTATTTTATTAAAAAAAGTTATTATTGTGCTCCCATTCTATTGCGCTCCATCTGTTTGTTCAATTCAATTCAGTTCAGTACAGGACACTTTATTGTCCCTGCAGGGAAATTTGTCTTGGACTCATGGTGCTCACATACACACTGTCCGGTCATTTTTGTAGAAACACAATGGCTAGAACACAACGACTTTATTCCATCCATCAGTACACAGACAATAGACAAGAATATACTCAGAAATAAAATACAAACCTAAAACATAAAATCTATTAGACAATACAAAATTACAAAAAAAATCATAAAAAACTATTACACTCACTTCTTCAGCATTATGCAAAATGGAATACAGGAATGAAGATAAAAACATTAAAAAGAAGGAAACACGTCTATAACACATTAAACAGAGACCTGCATCAAACGTTATGCTTATTCATTTGTTTAAAGCTCTTAATATAAACGCACTCGGCTTGGTTTTGCATTTTCTTTCTGCAGAAGCTTGCACTGTGACATCTGCTGTTTCAGATGCGTTTCATAGTAAGTTTCAAAAGTGTTACTCACTACTGTAAAGTGACACGGTGGTGGATGTTTTCCATAATCGCTTTGTTGTTAATTATTTTCATTATCAATTGTTATCAGCTTTATCATTATCATTGTTTCAGTCCCACAATGAACTATATGATGGTCTTAGAGCCACTTAACTAAAACCATGGTATAGTCTACATCTACAATGATCTAATGAATAATGAAGGTCTTACCCCATTTGAAGGATATGAGGTCCAACCCAGCTCTGCCTGGGACTCCTTAGAATTCAGCAAGACAACTGTAGGAAAAAACAAATCAAGAGATAAACAATATAAGAACTGATAAGGTATCAGAATCACTAAATTGCAATTATATGTTGTGCATTTTCTTTCTCACTGTCAGAGCACATAGAACTGATAGTGTTCAATAATAATGAACACACAGACCCAGAGGACGGGCTGTTGATCTGGAGGGTGACTGCATCAGAGGAGCATTAGAGCTCAAATGGGGACTGACAGACCTGCAGAGCTGCACTTAGTGAAATGAAGTGCACCGGTCATCAGCTGATAATGCTGGTCAGCTTTGCCAAGCACAGGAATCTTGATGAATTTCAGCCAGAAAATATGGTATGTGGTACAATGTGCTGGTTTAACATTTAAACATTAATTTTCTAAAGAGAAAATAAATGTTTTACGACACCACCATGATGCAATAGAGCCCAAGAGGCCTGTGAAGCAAATTCATGTTGGCATTTGTCATTTCTGCTGCAATTCTACAATGACAAAGCCCTAATGTGAAACTCTGCTTATAAACTAAATTAAAATGAGCAGTGAACCCTTGAATGTTGTTATTCAGCAATTCGGACAAGTACAAGACTGTGTTAACTAACTCGGGCAAGCTGAAACACTTTTAAAAAGATGCCCTTGACACAAATAGAGCCTGGGCTCTAAATCATCACCTTGGACAAGGCTTGTTGGGATGAAGCCTATAATTCAGAACCACAGACAACACCAGTACTCAGAAACACTGTATAAGCACCCTGGACAGCGACATGACTGTAGGGACAATTCAGCACCATGGACAGCACCACTGCCTTTCATTCCTAAAACACTCTGCCTAAATCTGTACAAAACAAGAAGATTTATAAGGGCAAACATGTCTTTTTTTATGCTAAAGTATCCTTTTCCAGAGTAATGTGCAAAGACAAATACATTTACAAAGAGTATAAACACTATAGCTCTGTTATGCTGTGGTTTGTTTGAGCAGTCCAACATGTCAACTTATAGCTCAACCAATGGTGTGAGTTTGGGGCGGGACTAACTATTTGTCCACTATTTGTATTTAGAAGTAATCATTCTTTTTTGCAATTATGGAGGAGCAGGGTTGCACTGCAGAAGTTGCACATGTTCCCTAAAGTTTCAACTATACAGATACAATATTCTGTGAACAATTCAAGTAAACTACACACCATTCAAAAGTTTGGGGTCTGCAATTTTTTATGTTTTTGAAAGAAGTTTCTTTCAAGAAGAATTCTCACCAATGCTACATTTACTTGATCAAAAATACAGTAAAACAGTAATATTGTGAAATATTATTCCAAATTTAAAAATTAGTTTTCTATTCTTACATTCTATTCTTATTTAATATATTAGATATTATTACTTAAATGTATTCATAATTATTCATATTAAATATAAAAATGATCGTAAAACTGTATTAATAGTAGTAACTGTAGTAATACTGTAATATTCCTCTGCAAAATTATGAAAGATATGTGGGTGCATTAAATTGGCAAACATATATTTATATATTATATAGTATAGTATACAGCATATACGTTTGAATCCAAACTTTTAAATGGAAGTACATGTTTGCCTAGTTAGTGTTTTAAAGTGCCCACATTCTGCCACATACAGTACCTGCCCTCATTTTGCCAAACATGGTGGGTTACCAGAAGCTGAATTTTTCATTAATATTTATTGCTACCAAAATGTTTCTCTTTGCTCAGCTCTCTGCTGTCAAACACAGAGCCACGTGAGACCAGCAAAATGCCACCACTATGCCACTGACACGGACTCTGTATTAACACACACACACGGCTCTGACACCACAACTCTAGTCTGAATGCCACTTCACAACAAGCCAGATGAGCTGCAGAAAGTTCCTTCAGAGGAGCTGTGCACTTCTGCCACGAGAACACTTGTATCTTACAGCATAACTCAGAGCATTTTTTAGCCTTGTAGATTTGCGGTTACTGCCAAGTATTATGAGGGGGGGGAAAATATAGAAAATGTACTGAGGGGTGAGTATTTTACATTTCCAAGGTTTTCTGTGGTAAACATAGACATAAATTTCACAGTGTTCTGACTTTGCTTCAGTTGGTTTGAGTGGGGGGCGGACTCTGTATTAACACACACACACGGCTCTGACACCACAACTCTAGTCTGAATGCCACTTCACAACAAGCCAGATGAGCTGCAGAAAGTTCCTTCAGAGGAGCTGTGCACTTCTGCCACGAGAACACTTGTATCTTACAGCATAACTCAGAGCATTTTTTAGCCTTGTAGATTTGCGGTTACTGCCAAGTATTATGAGGGGGGGAAAATATAGAAAATGTACTGAGGGGTGAGTATTTTACATTTCCAAGGTTTTCTGTGGTAAACATAGACATAAATTTCACAGTGTTCTGACTTTGCTTCAGTTGGTTTGAGTGGGGGGTTTTTTTTCGCCCTCAGAACAGCTGTTGCTTGGTCTCTCCACTTTTAGGGGACAAGATGCCATTTGATTTCTGCTGACACGGGCCCCCTACTGATCTGACCTTCAAGAGACGCACAGAAAAGTAGAAAGAGACGCTGTGCCAGACTAAGTTATACTACACAATGCAGTAAGAGAGACACAGTGAGGTCAGACTAAGAGAAAATAGAAAAACAGCAAAAAAATGTGAAAACAAGAAGTAGAAGAAATCGTTCACCCAAAAATGAAAAATCATTTACTTGCCTCATGTCATTCCAAAACCATTTGTCTTTCTTTTGTGGAACACAAATGGGTAGATTTAAAAATGTGCTCTTAATAAAGTCTGTTTTCTAAATGCATGTGATTGATCTTATTGTGAACGATTTATCCATGCATATGTTCTAATTAAAAAATAAATTAAAAAAAAGAGCTAGTAACTTTTAAAATCAAAATGTTATAACTCGATCTTCCGGTGAAGATTTTGATGTATGCCAGACTTCTCTTATAATTTTGAATGCTGCCCTTTTCTTACAATTGAGCTCACATTCAAATCTGCCTCCATCCAACCGACAGATCCAAGTCTGCTTCCAACATATTTTTCTCTTTCATTAATCTGTTTCACTCTGATGTACATCACAATATGGAAGATCATCACAACTTTAAAGTCACTCTCTTCCATGCAATTAATGGAGCTTTCAAGCTTCCAAAAAACGCAAAAGCAGCATAAAAGTGTCATAAAACAGGTCATAAAACTCAAGCGCTATATTCCAAATCATTTGAAGCCATGCATTAGATTTTTTTTTTTAAGTCATTGTTCACTAGACATCCTGTTTGACAGTCATAGTCCCCAACTCACTATACAAAAAAAGAGCAGCTTGGAGATTCTGCTGAACATTTCATTTTATGATCTACAGAAGAAAGTCACTCAAACAGGTTTGGAATGACATGAAGGTGAGTAAATGACCAATTTTTTATTTTAACATGAACTATTCCATTGAATCGAGCCGAAATGATCCGGGATGTCATTCCGGGGCTTTTGATTCCAAAAATACACATATTTTGTCTCCATTTAGCGAATGTACTCACCCCAAATAACCTTCACTACATTAAGCACTATTCTTCCATCTACACATTAGCAGAACCTGGGAGCAGAATTATTCCCTCATCCCCAAAAACCCAAATTAACCTCTGAAGAGAGGTCACAAACAAAGAGAACGTCAGAAAGAGGACTGACTGAAGGATGTGCTTATGTCACAGGGGCACTAATCTCCCTGTCAACCCCAACACACTTATGTAAATCCCAGTGAAAGAATTATAATATGAGAACCATAACATTCAATAGAGAGGATTAGCCACATGTTGTTAAACTCGCTTCCATGCAGCTTATCTGCGTATATACATAAAGCACACACAGGCTCAGAATGCACCAATCAGAGTCCAGAGACCTGTGGGACACTCATCGACCAAACATTATCCCTCTAATAAGCACACACACAAACTTAAATGGACTCTCTATGTGCATGCGTGCGCTAGTGGCCGTTAAAGCCAACCAAATGCCAAAGCGCATTAAGTTGAAGCCCCACACAGACCTTTATGACCTCATTAAACTTTCAGCTCTGCCATTGGGGTCTAAAGAGCGCTTGCTTTTCTCTAGGGTTCTATGGAAGCGTTTGCACGTACGCGCACAAGCCACTGAATCATAAAAACAGCTGTTTGCCTGGGTTTCCGCACAGGGGGAGGTGTATTCACGAGGACCTCTCAGTCATTCTCGCTCTTCTTTCTGATCAGCTTGGCATCATTTCGAAATGGGTCACGGTGCCGAGCGCCCGCTTTTAAAAACACAACCCCCCTCCGAGCTAACACAACACGACATCCTTTCCAAAACCGACTTGCTTGGCTCTTACATGATCTTGACATAGCTAGGCTTGTAGGCAGTTATAAATGAAACACTGTTTTCAGGAAAAGGGGGTTGAGCGGAAGTCGAGGTGCAAGAGATTTTCTGCGGTTGGTCAGTGAGAATGGCTTGAGTCATGGGCGGTGACCGTGTGGGGTCCGGTTATGGCAGGTTCGTGTGCTGACGGAGATGTGAGTGACAGCTTCCTATTGATTCAGTCTCCCTAAATGATGAAGCTTGACTCGCTTGTAACGTCATCATCTCCCCACCAGATCCTTTGAGCTGTCAGAGTGAAGAGAAATAAGTTAATGTGCTTAACAAGTGATTTGGGGTCATTAAACGGTCATGGAATGACTTAAGACTGACATGCACAGCTTTGAAAACTGCTTTGCTTCATGCTCTGTGAAGATGATTTGGAATTAAGCAAGTAAAGGCATATTTTTACTTTTGTATATGAGGAGGGCTGGGCTTCATATGTCATTTCTCATACGGCTTCATACATCAGAAGCCGTATGAGAGATGGCATATGATGAATCCAAAATTCTGCCACATCTGACAATAGCGAGTGAATTGAGAAAATGTAACTAAATGTAACAATTTTTTCTTCAAACATAAGAACAAGTTCAAGTTTGGGGTCAGTAGGATATTTATTTATTTAAATAAATTAATAC